TAACGCTTCTAGGACCTAAGTTCGGATAAAAGTACGTAAGGCCCTTTATTATTATTTAACGAATTAGAAAAGCGGTATATAAAATCGACGTATTTAAATATTAGAAAGTCCATCCCGTTCTTTCTATTAACTACCTTAAGCTAGTGTAAATAGATTCCTTTGGTTGAAGTTTACTTTATATTCCTCCCGTACTACCGGATAAAGTATTAGTAATTAATGAAGTATTAATAGAAAAGAATTTACGATACTTAGTATTATATAAGAATATGCTGTAGATATATAATTAATAGGTAATAGCGAAATAATTAGTAATAAAGAGTCTAAAGGTATTGGAAGTATGGGTAAAATATAAAGTGAATATTAATAACCTTATAAATTAATTTTTTTTTTGGGAATTTTTTATATATATAACGAGGGCGCTACAAGTTTTTCTTATAGGGGTAATTATTAGGACTCGATACTAACTCTTAACCGACGGGCCCATATTATATAACGCTTACCCTGTATATAGCCCTCTAGAAGGAAGGTATCAATATATATATAGAAGGAGCTTACGAAGATAGGAAGGAAGAGGTTATTTAGAATAGAAAGTAGCTAAGTATATGAGGAAATTAAGTACTTAGTAAGGCCTAATAAAAAGGATAGTTAGGGATGGATTCTTATATATTTAAAATTAGCCGCCCCAAATTTGTAGAGGTTCTAATTCTCCTCCTCATCTTTATTTTCTTCTACCAATCAATTCAATTAATACAAGCTTTTTCCCTGATACAAGACGGCATCGCCCTTGCGAAGGGAGAGGGCAGTTGCCGGATGGAAAGGACGGGTCTAACGGGGTCTCCCAAGGAAGGCTCCAGTCTACACGTACGTTGCTTGAAACGTAAGAGGTAGCGTGCTTGTAGGCCACTGGAATCCACGTACGGCAGTGCAACGTGAGGTTGACGGAATCAATGTGCGTCGTTGAGTTGCGACCGTGACGTGCCAACTTACCTTAAGTACCTTGAGGTTAGTAAGGTATCAATACAGTAGGTACCTAGGATCTAATACTTGTACACAGTATATGGCATTTTTAAGTTAGGCTACCTATAACATTGTGGCAACCGCCCTGACGGGACCTAGCTGAAGACGTAGTGGGGCATGAACTGGGGCGGGCAGGTGGGGACCTGGCAAAGAGTGGCAGGTACCTGCTTCGCCTGTTTGTCTGCCTTTCTGTGTATGTACCTGCCCGCCTGCTATCTTTTGACCTCTGGACAGTAGGAGGCGCAACCTACATCTACTCCAGCTAGAACGTTGTCGCTACCCCCGTAATAGAGAGGTCGATCGCACGACGCGCCCCATTCATATGAGCTTCCATCGGGACCGTCAACACCCGTCAAGCGCGTCCCGAAAATGACGTTGATATCCCCAGAAGCTCCCACGGGCTTCGGGAGTCGGGACGGCCGGGATGCCCCGCACCGCCCCACATTCAGCTTCCAGGCCTCCTCGTCCGCGGCTCCGCGCCGACTTACAGGACTGACAAGATTTAAGCTCAGTCTCGTCCCATGTGAGATGGCCGTCAATCTCATATTGCTTACTTGTAGAGGTACCTATGTTTATTACTACTCAATGGCCGTTCTTCAGTCATATGGCGACTACTACACACTGGACCTGAGTTCTTGACACCGGCTAGTTGTTGACGTGTGATTTACCCAGCGGTCTAGACTTTTATGAGATTGAAACTATTTTGACGAGAACCTGGCAGACCTGGGTCCCGTCAGTGGTAGCAATAGCTGGCTTTCCTTCCTTCGCCGTTTCGATCGCTCTACGACAATAGCACGCGAATCTCGCTCGATGTCCTTGGGAACAGCGCCCGAAGACTTTGGACGTGTTCCTCCTCACCGTCCTCCTCGGCTCTCCTTTGCTCCGCCAGCTCGTCAGCCGACAACAACATCTCCTCCACATGCTCAAAATCCACGCAGAATCTTTCGGCTGCCTCCTCGGTCACATCGCTCGCCAGCTTTGAATCCTGAAGATTCTTGAGCTTCTCCGTCGCATCAATCAACGCCGATGGCAAGAAATCGTCGAGCTTCTGACTTGACTGTCGCAGTGCTTCAGGCTGAACCTCCTCTAGTGTCGCAACCTTTCCAACATCATCCTTCTTCTGTATGTCCAGCCCAGTCAGCGCTTCAATGAGGGAGTCCAGACCGGACTCGGCCTTGAAGAGCTTGTACTGTGCAATGACCAACCGCGCCTTTTCCTCCTCAATCTTGGTCTGTATATCGGTGGCATACTTGCGAACAAAGGTGAAACCGGAGAGCGTTGTCCGTGCAGCCAAGAAGCAGTTGATGAGGAAAATGGATTTGGACGGCGGGCTGGCATTGTTGGCCATGTTGATGCAGCCAGCCATGAATGGGTCGAACGCCTCGGCCATGATGGACTCAAACTCTGCTTCCGGATCATCACCCGATGAACTTAGTGACGTTTCGTACGTTTTCATGATTGCCGATAGTTGCTCCAACGCATCCGTGAGGAACTCGGGTGGCCGAAGGTCTGGTGGAGTATGCTGGAACTCGGTTTGAAGAGTGGCGACGTGGTCCCGAGCCAGAGATCGAAATTGGCGTAATGCTTCCGTTTCGAGGGTACCCATCGCTTCAACGAGAACCGACGTGGGGCCCACCAACCTGGAGAATGTGCTCTTATAAAAGTTAATGAGGTTCGCAAGTCTGAAGGCCAGGATGGTCTCCTCATTCGTCTGGATGACCTGTTCGACCCTCTGTCGTAGGATACGGACTGCACCGGACATGTCTCTATCTACTAGTTGGTTCAGGGCCGTAACAGGATCGAAGGCAGCCATTTCCTCCCCATCCTCGGCCACGAGCCGCCAGACTTCAGCCTCTCGGCCCACCTGAATGCCTTTGGCGATCTCGTCACCCTCGGATATGAACAGGACTTCGAGCGCCTCTCTTTCGCCCACTGCGGCCGAGTGAGACCAGGCGAGCATGTCCCCCACATATCTCAAGGGGTCATGGGCTACTAGCTCAATGGGCTTGATCGAAGGGTCTCCCTGTCCAGCAGCCGAACTGCCTGTCAAGGCAGTGTAGAAAGCCTCGGACAGGACGTGCTCGCGGGCTTCGGCGAAGAAGTCTAAACAGTTTTGGAAAAGAGTAGGTCTCTCAGCCAAAACGCGGAGAGCTCGGCGGATGGCCGAGCCAATTTGGGGGTTCTCAAGATTTAGCGATTTAAACTCCCTCTGGACCCATCGGTAAAGCTTCTGGAATCCGTGATTCAGGTTCCGTGTGACTTGCTCCATGATGCCCAGCCCTAGCGTCTGATCCTCAAAGCCCAAGAGAACCTCACAGTCCCGGCTGATCTTTTTGGCCTTGGCGAGGACTGAGAAAAAGAGGTCGTCTACAGGCTCCGAGGTCAAGGTCAAGGCATCAACTTCGTCCTGTGTGAGGATGAAGTGAGTTTTAAAGGTCGAGAGCAACTCTTGCTTGCTTTCGACCTGCCGCTTCTGCGTCATGAGTTGTGAAGCCTCGCCCAAGGCAGATGCGGTGGATGCATGAGCTGCATCGATCTGGGTTTTCATATCGCTGTAGCTCTCGTTGAGCTTGCCGATGGTGTAGCCGATGCGTTTGAGTTGCTAAAAGTGCATCAGTGTGCGGCTCATTCGCCTGCGGTTGAGGAACACGAGTTATGTGTCACTGCGAACAACGAGAACACATACCTCGGCGACTTTGCCGAACTCATGAATGATCTCTCCATTGCTGTCGATGACCTCTTTCTGAAGATCCAACCGAAGCTTGCGACGGTTCTCTGCTACATTCTGCAGCCCTCGCTCATCTAGCAAGAGAAGGGCCTCACGGAACTCGGTGTCGGCATACGAAGTGGACAGGACGCTGGCGATCTTGGAGGAAAGGGCACTCGTGCCCGCACTCTTGGTCGATGTTGGAGTCAAGGGGCCTGTTGGCGACAAGAGCTCAGAACTGTCTCGCGGCGATAGTACCAAAGACCGCACCGGGGGCGCGGATGTCGAGCCTGAGAGCATGATTCCGACTTATCATCAGCTGGAATTCTTGCCCAGTGTCCTGGGAGGTAGGTATCTGCTGATCTGTCACAATGACAGTAGTTGTAGGAACGGCTTGTGCCGTCGGCTCAGGCTTCGAGGCACCCCGTACTGCCCGTGTATCCCGTGCGGATCTGTCGTCTGATGGGTTTATTTAGGAGCCTTGTAAATCCTGTGTCCTTCTTACCAGGGTCGATCTGGACCTGAGGTGCGATCTCAGTTGTTCGTCCGCAAGGTACTATGTTTCTGAATCCAAAGAACGTAGATATGTTAAAGGTACGCAGATAGATGCTCCTTTCGGAGCCCCTGAGCATGGAAAGTGGAATGTTTACCCGTCTGTTAGAGGCACAGTGTCCAAAAAGCACTCTGTATGTATGTACTTGCCTCCAGTATACTAGTGTACATGGGAGGTACGTACTTGTCACAGTAAAGGCAATGCGCTGGCTGATAAGCATTTGCACGTGCCCTATCGCGTTCACCGCCTGCCTGACACGCTCTAGCGTCGGGTGGCATGTGAGACCCACCAAGCCCACGTCCCGTCGTCATTCTATGGCTACCCGAGCTACCGTCGCACCCCTCGCAACCGGCGTGTCCTTGTCACCTGGCCCCTCAGCAGCCCTCTCCCGACCGCCCAACTGCCTGGCGGCAGCCTGCTGCTCTACCCTCAACACCTCGCGCTCCAAGACACCTACCTACCTTTACACACATGAAAGACAGGACGAGAAAATTCCAAAACAGACAATTGCAACTCAACTCCCCGTTTGTACAGGGCAGGTCCAGAATACACGCTTCACTGGCAAATCAACACCTACCTATACCAGCTAGCACCGGTCTGTCAAACGCCTATCCAGCCGCCATCTCAACGACTTGAGAGCCGAGCACACGGTCCATCTCGAATCGAGCAAAGTGGCCCCCGAGGCACATCCTTCCTCGACTTGAACGCCGTCTTCGAAAGCCCCCGTCTCTACCAACCGCTGTCCGATACCCGATCGGTCATTAGTCTGGATGCTCACTCGCCTTTTCCCAACCGAGCCACCGTAATTCCGGACAGTCGCTCCAGTACTAGAACTAAAAGTCGGCTAACGTGTTCATGGCTGACGGCGTCATTGCCAGGCTCATGTCGGGTGGTCGTGGCAGTCGTGGCGCGCGCTCCTTCTATGAAGAGTTGCGCGGCCGCGACAATGCCTCTGATGTTGACGATCGTGCTGGGCTCTTGGATGAAGAAAATCTTAACCAGCATTTTAATGACTACGATATTGAAAATGCACAAGGGCTAAGACTTGACGACAGTAGGGCCACTGTCGACGGCCGGATCCCACGAGGCCGAGCCCAAATGTCCGGCCGTCCACCACGTCCAGATGCTACCACACATTGGGGTGCCAACCACGATGACGACGCTGACAATGACGTACCCGCCTCCCTGCTTGTTGAACATTATGACAGGGGAGCTGCTCCCTTGGGGTCGCCGGGGAAGCTGAGAAGCCAGCATGCAGGATCGCGTGCACATCCTGCTCCAGGATTGTCCAAGGGCCGTACGCATCAGCAAAGGCCACACGCCGACCAAGATGTTCAGCTCCCGCTGCATAGCAATGCCGCGCCTAGCTCCATTTTAACCGGTGCTATAACAGGCAACGCTAAGAAGATGGCCGAATGGAGATGGGCTAATATTACCAACCTTGACAGCTTCATGCAAGACGTTTACAACTACTACCGGGGGAGTGGGATGTGGTGTATTGTGGTCGAAAGGGTGCTTCACCTGATGTGAGTGGGCCTTGTCCCTCGCCCGTCTTCGGAGCAGAAAAGCTGGCCTCATGAGCAAATACTGACAAGAGCAACAGCAAAGTCGCCTTTGTAGCTTTCCTCTTGACATTTCTCTCCCAGTGCGTTGACTTTAAGAAGATTCCGAGCAACCAGAAGCTGTCTCAAGTCCTCGTTCCTCAGTGCACTCGGAATATGTCTGGGTTATGGAACATTGGTCTTTGGCTCTTTGCCTTCTATTTCATGTGGAAATCAATACAGTACATCCTCGACTTGCGCCGGCTGACGCATGTTCGGGACTTTTACATCCATCTGCTCAACATTCCCGATGAAGATATGCAGACCATCACATGGCAGGAAGTTGTAGCCAGGATAATGGTGCTCCGGGATCAGAACGTAAGGACGACTAGGACCATGACGCCGCAAAATCAGCGCTGGGTCCTTGGTAGCCAATCCAAGGAGAGGCTGGACGCTTCCGACATTGCGAATCGACTGATGAGACGAGAGAACTACATGATTGCCATGATAAACAAGGATATACTCGACTTGACGATCCCTTTGCCGATTCTTCGCAACCGTCAGCTTCTTTCACAGACGCTCGAATGGACTTTGATGTTCAGCATTCTCGACTTTGTCTTTGACCCCAAGGGTCAAGTAAACCAGGAATTTCTCAGGTCCGACCGCAGGGGCGTCCTCAGCGCCAAACTTCGGAGCCGGTTCATCTTCGCAGGTGTTATGATCCTCATACTGTCGCCTTTCGTGGCAGGCTACCTCATCATCGTGTATTTCTTGGAATACTACAATGTACGTCGACTTGGGCTTGATTCTGTGGTAGAGATGCCATCACTGACACTGTTTTCTAGGAAATTCAAAAGAACCCGTCGATATTGTCTGCGCGAAGCTACACACCTCTTGCGGAATGGAAGTTTAGAGAGTTCAACGAGCTTCCTCACCTGTTTAAGAGACGACTGGACATGTCTCACCCCTTTGCCAGCCACTACATCGATCAGTTTCCCAAAGCCAAGACGTCAATGGTGGCCAAGACTGTGTCCTTTATAGCCGGCTCGATTGCTACGGTCCTTGCTTTGATATCTGTTTTCGACCCGGAAATGTTCCTCGGCTTCGAAATCACGCACGATCGCACCGTGCTCTTTTATACGGCTGTTTTTGGAGCTATATGGAGTGTAGCTCGCGGGAGTGTGTCCGAGGATAACGCGGTATTCGATCCCGAGTACGCGCTTGGCAATGTGGTGGAATATACGCATTACCAGCCGGAGCACTGGAAAGATCGGTGGCATAGTGCTGACGTGAAGGCCGAGTTCGAGGAGCTTTACAAGTTGAAACTGGTCATCTTTGTTGAAGAGATTCTCAGCATCTTGACAACTCCCTTTGTCCTGTTTTTCAGCCTTCCCAAGTCAGCCGATCAGATTATAGACTTCTTCCGTGAATTCACGATTCACGTGGACGGTCTTGGCTACGTGTGCTACTTTGCCGAGTTTGACTTTAAACAAGGCTCCAAAAATCCAACGCCGGCGGCGGCGACCACAGGCGAAGGAGATGTACGAGATGACTATTACTCTACAAAGCATGGCAAGATGGAGGCGTCCATGTATGGATTTATCAACAATTATGCTCGAAACCCAAAACACATCCCGCCTGCGATGCGCCAACAGTTTCACTTACCGCCGGTCTTCCCCGGCATAACTTCGCCAACGTTGGCAGGTGATTTGGCAGCTTCACGGATGGGCCGCAGCCAGCGAGCAAGGAGTAAAGGTCCCGTCCCTTCGCGTACACCGCGACCTGGGACGGTAGTTGCAGAGCCTTCGCCTATGGCATCCATCCTCTTGGATCCGCGCCATCAGCCAATCCTCCCGAACAACATGAGCTTTGTCAAGTTCCGAGGGGGTAATCAGGGTGAGGGTCACATGATGGGAGGATCGATGGAGGAGGATGGTAAAGGTGCTGCACGCAACGGTCAGCAAACGCACGACGACGAGTCGGAAGACAGCAGGGCAGGGCTGGATGAATCAGCATGGCAGGTATCGCCAACCAACGATTTAAGCAGAGAGAACAGCGGGCGGGGCCTGGACTCGGTTGTTGGTGAGGAAGCGGGAAATGGGGCTGGGGTGGTACACATGCTCTACCAGTTCAACCAGGCGCATTTGAATAGGAGGCTTGGGGGTGTGAGATGAAACGATCAAGACTCAGGTCGCGGGCCGGGGAATTGGATAGAGAAAAGAGGAGGAATCACGAAACGAACATAAGATATCTGTCAGGTACTTTGGCATGACACTGGAGAAAAGCGTTAGGAATACCGGGTACTGTAGCATACTACATTTTGCAGCAGTGTTGAGTTCCATTGCCGATTATTATATCGGCAGCTTTTTGGCGACAGAGTGGCGCGACTATGGTAGATGTAGGGGATTGTTCGCTTGAGTATGGTTGAATTGGGAAATAAGATATACGTACATAGCAAAGTACGTACCTCATCCGATAATCAGATCTGATAAGACAAATCTGGATCTGATAACGGTTAGATGGCCCTGGACGCCGGCTGTGAGCCTGACAGCTGCAACCCATCAAGGTGCATACATACATACATAGCCGTCTGTGCACGGCATTCATGGGTAGCTATCGAACCATTATGACGGCGCGAAGGCATGCCCGACTCTCGAGATCCAATTCAGCGCCGGTACCTTGGACGCACATTTCAGCTTTTTGCAAATTGCCATTTATTCCCATGTATCCCCACCATCCCCTCCGATGACCGGTGGCATACCGCTAAGCTCAGGACTGCATAGGACTGCACATGGCTGCACGCGCAAGACTATAAAACGCACAAAGAAACACAGGATGCATGGAGTTTTCATGTTCAGCGGTATATTTACTGAACCAAGGGCTGGTAGGAAAGAATAAAATCAAGCTCGCAATCAGCGATCCGGCCTTGTCCGAGGTTGGGTAAGCTTGTTTGATTGGCCGATGGGCCTCGGGACTTTTGATCTGATAAGCCCGGTAGGTTGGGGGGGCTCGGGGGAAAAAAAGGCAAAAAAGCGAAGCCGCTAGCGGAGACGGACGCAGCGCGAACAATCCCCTCAACCACTCCGTCAATTGTGGGGTTGCTTGACATTGTGACTAGCGTACACAGTCCCTTATGTAGGCACATCTGCTTGGAATCATCATATCATGGGATGGCAATAAAGCTAGGAATGGAGGCCCGAGTGAGGATGCGAGTAAATGTTAGTTGACGCGAGCAGGTTCTTGATAGTTGTAATCCAGTAGATATGAAGTCTTCCTCTCAGTGCCTTATGGAGGTTGCAATGATTGATTGAACTTGTACGTACCTCCATGGATGGAAGCATGTGCTGTGTGAATCGTTCTGTGTATCACTCAACATCAAGGTTCCCCGGCCTCCGATTGCTCCAGCGGCCCCGTCGAGTGCGCTGCCATTGGAGGTGTCGGGTCGGTTGCGATCCACGGTCCGCGGCAGAGCTTCCCACTGAGGTGGCCTTCAGGTTCCAAAGGAAGTGTGGGTGGGTGCTGTGCCGGGACGGGTTCTGCGGGCGTCGGTTGAGCGTGTCTGGCGTGGGCGTGTCTGTCAAGCTGCGGTGCCAAGCCCATATTTTTTTGCTGCAAGGCCGTGCCGACTACGGGTCGGGATATTGATAAAACTGACGCCTCATCCGTCAATCCTCCCCAAAAATCCCGTCCTTGCTTGAACCGCCACCAGACGCCCCTCCGCCCCCCCTCCTCCGTTCCGCGCCCTCCGTTGCGACGACACCCAACGCCCGAAACCGACGACAATACTCTTGGCCGACACAATCGATTCCTTTGGTGTGAAGTTCGATCGTACACAGGCTTCGACCCCGGTGTTGCGCAAAAAGGCTAGAACCAGGTCCCAGGCCGAGGAAATAGAGCAGCTACATAGCTACATTGTATCGCAGCCGCCGTTTGCATTGCGTCACCTCGCTGCCGCCCTTCACAACCGCTCGGTCTCTGTGGAATACACCTGTATTGGTCCGCATCGCCCGTCGCCGACCCTCCCTCTCTACCTTGCCGTCTCTTCCAAGGACGGTCCCAGGAGCCTTTCAAGCTGGCTCTTAGCGCAGGAGCATCGGAGGCTGTGGCTTCCAAAATGACCCAGCCAAACGTTATCGACGAGGAGGATTACGAGTACGTGGCGGCCACTTATGAAACAACATCGCGAACAACTCGGGGCCCGCTGACACCGCATCTTTCCATATAGCTATGAGTCGCTCCCGCCCAACTTCTCCCTCATCCAGAACATGGCTGCCGGCGCCTTTGCTGGTATCGCCGAGCACTGCGCCAGTATGTTCCCCCCATAGCCCACGCGTTCGATCGCCGACTATCTATCTGCCCTGGGCCCTGCGCTAACTGATTCTCCCATAGTGTATCCCATCGATGCTGTTAAGGTGGGCGAACGGTCCCTTCTTGGTTCATACGCGAGACCTCAGCAAGTCACTGACTGACTGTCTTTGAATTCCCTCAGACTCGTATGCAGATTGTGAACTCGAACCCTTCCGCGGTCTACAATGGCGTCATCCAGAGCACCTATCGAATTGCTTCGACCGAGGGCATCTTCAGCTTGTGGCGCGGCATGTCCAGCGTCATTGCCGGAGCCGGTTAGTTCGCCTCTCCGTCTCTTCGGCTCTCACGGCAACCAGCTAATGCCAATTTGTTAGGCCCTGCGCACGCCGTTTACTTTGCGACTTACGAAGCTGTCAAGCACTTGATGGGCGGTAACAAGGCTGGCGAGCATCATTTCCTCGCTGCTGCCACTAGCGGTGCTTGCGCGACAATCGCCAGTGATGCCCTAATGAACCCCTTTGACGGTATGCCCACCCATATATGCCTATACACTTGCGGAACTATACGCGCAAAAACAAAAAGTCTAACGCAGTCACAACACAGTGATCAAACAGCGCATGCAAATCCAGAACTCGGCCAAGATGTACCGCTCCATGCTTGACTGCGCCAAGTATGTTTACCGGAACGAGGGTCTCGGGGCTTTCTACGTCTCCTACCCCACCACGCTTTCTATGACCGTCCCTTTCACCGCGCTTCAGTTCCTCGCCTATGAGTCGATATCGACCTCGATGAACCCCACCAAGAAGTACGACCCAGCGACACACTGCCTTGCTGGCGCGGTGGCTGGTGGCTTCGCGGCCGCGCTTACAACGCCTATGGATGTGATTAAGACCATGCTGCAAACCCGAGGCGCGGCTCAGGACGCTGAGGTCAGGGCCGTGAGCGGCTTTGTGGCGGGGTGTAAGCTGCTGTACAGGAGAGAGGGTGTCAAGGGCTTCTTCAAGGGCCTGAAGCCCAGAGTGTTGACCACCATGCCTAGCACGGCCATCTGCTGGTCGGCGTATGAGGCGTCCAAGTACGTTCTCCCCGCTTTTGCTATCAAAGTGCCAAAACTGCCCCAACACGCTGCTAACACATGGGATGTGCCAGGGCCTATTTCATTCACCAAAACAGCCAGTCATGAACTGCGACTGACCTACGGAGCGGAGGCCTGTTGACAAGGTGAGTGCAGCTGTCTGCAAACTTTCTTGTATTTCTCTCACTTCTCAGCATATCGCCGCTGTGTTTGCTGGTGTTAACTCGCTTGCTGCAGCCAGGATCACCAAAACTCGAAACCTCCAGATGTGCATGCACGGCGTTAGAGGAGAAAAAGAAAGGCATCGCTTCATTTCCAGCGTATGGAGCCCATCAGGCGCGAGGCGGGGGAAGCCCAACACCACTCGAACATGCTCACCTGCGGGAGATTGAATGTCCATTTATTCGCCCTTGGCGTCCGTCTGGGAACGGGCAATGCCAGGGCGCGTTGGTTACGAGGGCGCATTGCGGAACGGGGTACTTGGAGGCTGGATGGGCAAAAAGAGTCCTTCAACCCGGCCAGGAACAATGGGGTTTTGGCGCAATACCAGCGACGATTACGATACAAGGCAAAAACAAGCAACACAAAATCCGACCCATGTACGTAATATAGCTTTGTTGCCTTGTCTTCTTTTTTTATATTGCTCGCATAAATTGTTCCCGAGGGTTCCTTAGTTCACCCACAAAGCCATGGATGGGGTTTACCGAACCATGGAGATGCAGGCTATCGGTGCGTTCTGGTAGCGTGGTTGGTGTGGGAAAAGCAAAGCCTGTTGCGCTGCTGGTCTGTCTTTGGTCTTGGGCAACCTAATTCCACTTGTATATGATGGCGAGGTAATGTGGAGTCAGGGTAGCTGTGTGTAAAAACCAGTACCTACTAGGTCTTCACGGTGTTCATACCTTCTTAACGTTTGTATACCACATATGTATCATACCTTACGCTTGTATACGAAGACAACCATGATTCACATTTGGCCAAGTTTACTCTAGTTGAAATTATGAACAATAACTGGTACTGTGTGTTCACCTCCCGTTCGTTCGTCCTGTTATTCCTTTGAAGAGAAACCGTAGCTTAACACCCAAACTCCCTAATCAAAGCTTCCCAACCCTCAAGATTCAAATGTGTCGCGCGCCAGACACCGTAACCAAGGACCACATGGCCTTCCACATGCTTTTGGTATCCGCCCATGCACCCCGATGCTTAGCCACCAAACGGAAACCCTCCGGGAAACCCGCCACTCCCATACTGAAATCGGAATCCGCCTCCCGGTCCGCCCTGTTGGAACATGAACGGATTCCCACCCTGCCCGCCGAAGGGCTGTCCTCCCTGCTGCCCCTCGTGCGAGTTTGGATCGTCACCTCTGTCGAACCGTGCTCGTAGCTCGGGGTCGCTCAGTACCTCGTACGCCTCGTTTATCTGAGCCATCTTCTTCTCGGCCGCCTCCTTGGTCAACCCTTGCTTGGCTGCCTTGTCTGGGTGGTGAAGCTTGGAGAGCTTGCGGTAGGCCGACTTGATCTGTCTCTCATCCGCGTCGCGGGAGACGCCCAGGACCTTGTAGTAGTCCTTCGTCTTGGAGCGTTTGAGTGCGATCTGCGCCTTCTGGATGAGGGGGTTGATGACGTCTGATTTGGCAGGGTGTTCCTCTAGGGCCTTTTGAAGGGTCGCGATGGCGGCGTCGTACTCTTCTGCCGCCATCTGAACTTGCGATTGGTGGAGGAGGGCATAGAGGGCAGTGGGATTGATGGCTAGCGACTCGGCGCAGTAGATGGAGGCTTTCTTGCTGTTGGACTGGTGAAAGGGAGCTGGTGTTAGATGCTTTGTTCCATCCTGTTGTTGGATTGGGGGACCGCTTGAGAAGTCGACTTACTTCAAAGTATGCCTGGCACGCCAGTTCTACTAGTTGTCCTACCAATGCATTGCCCGCGGACTTTGGAATTGTCCCGTCCGCCCGAAGTTTCTCGACTTGGCTCTTGACCTCCTGAATGAGGCCTTCCCCTTCTTGGTTCGGGACCAGGTTCTTCACGGCCATCATTGGTTGTTTCTTGTCCAACGCCTTGATCGCTTTCTGGACCATCTTGTCCGTCATCTTCTCTTCCTTCAACAACCTTGCGCATACCTTGCTGTCCGGATCGGAATGTAGACATTTCCTGATGGCTGTCAACCCCCCTTGTAGATCGCCGAGGGCGTAGAAGGAAATGGCCGAGATTTTGAGGTGCGGGGTTGTGTCGCCAGGCTTCATTTGCAAGATGTGTTGTAGGTCGCTCATGCCCATCTCCAAGTCACCTCGCTCGAATAAACACTTAGATCGTAACTCGCGCAGCGCAACAGCCCGGTTGGCAACCATGATGGCGGCTCCGGCTTGCGTAACACATTCCTCCCAGTCTCCGGTGGCTGCTGCCTTCTCGGCGAGGCCGGCGGCAATAGCGGCATCCTCCAGCGCAGCTAGTTCGTCCGCCTTCCTTGCCTTCTCGTAGTGCTCCCTTGCGGCGTCCCAGTCGGCGCTGCGCGCCTTCAACTTTCCCAGCTGGATGTGGGCACCTTCGAAACCAGGCTTGAGCGCGAGCACCTTGTTGAAGTCATCGGTCGCTTGCGAGGTGCGGCCGAGCGAAAGGTAGGTGGTAGCGCGTTTGAAGAAGGTCAGGTAGTTGGAGGGGTCGCGAGCAATGGCAGCATCATAGTAGACGAGCGCATCGTTGGTCTCCCCCTTTGAGAGATGGCTTTGCGCCGAAGCGAGGAGGTTGGATAAGGGCAGGTCGGAGGGTATCTCGGCTGGAGAAAGGCCGTTCACGATGGAAGCGGCCGCAACGGCAAGGGCTGATAGCCGGACCAACATCTTGGACGATGGGGAAGGTCGTAAGCCGGTCGTCCACTGAACTCGATACGCAGACGCTCGGTTATCTAATCGTTATTAGGGATCGTAAAGACTGGAGTAAGAAATGGCCACGATTAGGTTTTGCGTTCAACAGGATTAAAGTTTAAAAGACCCAAAGATTGACAGGGTGAAGAGTGAATGAATGGCGATATGGACTGCAACAAAGAAATGAATGGAGGTTGATGGAGCCAAGTTGTCCTTTGGCGGATGTGTAGGCTAACAGCGTTAGCGGCACGGGTAGTAGTATATGTACGTACCTCGCTACGACGCCAACGGTATGCAATGGAAGATGAGACTCCTTCTACCACATTCGGGTGGCCAGATGCTTGAGTACAGTCCAGGTACTTCTCCACCCGGTACCCTTGTGCCTGACGCTCATGTTAGTGCGAGGGCGACAAGCTGGGCGATGTATGCACACTCACTATCCCTTCTAGGCATCACATAATAGCTGAAGCAGAGGTAAAATACCCACATATGATTTTATACCAATTTCATGGCAAACCCGAGGTCTTTTTGAGGTAGAATAGCTGTCCAGACGGCTTGCATCTTTCAAGGAACCCCCGGCCCAAGGCACTCGAGGGGGAATGATGCCCTTACGGTTGCTTGGAACCAGAACGTATTGACTTGTCGAGTCTTTAAAGTCGACTCTCAACCACTACCTATTCACGGTCTATTCCATGGCATGACGACGACGTATTCCGAGAGGTATCACCGAACTCGCTTCATCCATCATCGATTCAGATGCTGCTTCGGCCTGTTCGGGGCTATGCGGACTGTTTGGCACGCGCTCTCCGTTGTTCAGAAGTAGATCGCCCGTTCTATTTGCTGTATCATCGAGTCACGTCGCCATACAAACACACCTGTCTAGCTACACAACTACTGTGAATTTTCATAATAACGACCTGAAAACACATTTGGAGCTATACGCAGAGGAAGTGCCACCATGTTTGGAGGGAAAGCCGGTAATTATGAACGGCATCGAAGGATCCAAATGCACATTTTGGCGACAAACTCCAAGCTACCCATAGACTGAAGATTAGAAGAGCACCCACATAACAATGGCAAACATGTACTCTCTTGAGACTCGAATATCATATCACCCCCGGATCCCCCTCCTTTCCCTCTTGCCGTCCCCACCGCCACAGTTCCACTACCACCTTAGCAGCTACCAGGAGAGTATCTATCTCAAAGACAAGAAAGCAGTGAATTCACAGTATCCCTATGCGCAAAAAGAACGAAAGAAAAGGAAAAGCGAAGACAAAGCCACGGTTACCAACCACCCTTGCTCTATGTCAACATTAAAGTTGTGATGTCCTACAAGCCGCCCAAGCATGCTCAAGCTGGTCTGTTGATTAACGACTGGGATCAACGGAAGACGTCTAGGCAAGCTGACACTATGAAGAGCTCTTCGGATATTCACCAGGGATATGAAGGTTGGAGATGGTTGGAACGCTGTCATTGCGCATCCCTTCAATATTTGGGCGTGTTCGATCCTGGAAAACGTCACCGCCACTGTTACTGTCCATCTGCCCGACCATAACTGTTCTTGGCATTGCATGGCTGGGATGTTGAGCACTCGCAGATGCGATACCGTTGTGCATGCCACTCTTATCCTCCGGTGAGGACACTGCCTGTTGTGCACCCATGGAGGCTGGGAAATCTCTGATATCAGAATCTACCCATCGTTGGCCGTGACGAACGTTTTGCTCATCCGCGTCGTGGTTCCGTCTAACAAGTAATGTCATATCGGGATTACTGATTCGACGATTATCAGTTTTTTCGCTATGTCCCCGGAAAATGGCACCATCGCCTTGGTTTCCAGCAGTATAGGGCATTGAGAGGGATTGGCCGTCAATGTCGTTGTGGACACCATGAACTTGATTCCGGTTTGGGTTGGCATAAGTGTAATCGCCCTGGTGTGCTGTAAGAGTGGCCCCTTCGCGATCCGGTGGATTCGGTTCCCGTGTTCTATCGTGTTGCTCTATGGCGCTTCCTGGCAATGTGGTGGTAGCTGCGGTGGCATCGACAGTGCCGTTCTCGTCGTTTCCGGAACTCACACTAAGCGGGGAAACGGGAACCTGTAAGCGTCTTTTTGCATTTACCTGGAGATCAGATGGGAATCGCCCACCTGAAGGACGTCGCGGCAGAGCGTCTTGCCTTGGCGGCTGGTTGACATATGCCACGTTTGCAGAAAAGGGAGGCTCCTCGTCGTCATTGACTCCATCGCTACTGATGG